TGTGATCCCGTTGCTGGTCCCGGTCCGGTACGGGCGCGACACTGAGGGTTGCGATCCGTGGCCGGTCACGAAAAAAGACAAAAAAAAAAAAAGGTGACTGTGCACTGTGACTTATTGCATGCTTTCTCTGTGCCAGGCACTGCACCTGCATTATCCCACCAAACCTGCCAGGTAACCGATGTAGTTCCCGTTGTACAGATGAGCGGCAGTAAATGGAGGAGTCTGGATTTGAACCCGGGGCACTCTGACTTGCAAGTGTGCTCTTCCTACTGCTCTAAGCTGCCTCCTGACTCAGCTGCTTCTCAGCTCTCTGCTCTGAGTCACTGTGCCTCAGTTGCTTCAAATGCTTTACCGCATACAGTTGCTGTGAACGTGAGTGTGGGAAAGGGAAAGCAAGAAGGCACGAAGTGCTGTGCAGATGTGGGGTCAGGGGCGAGGCCATCTGGATTTTCCTTTATGGGACTGGTTAGCAGCATGACGCTGCCTGTCACCACCGGAGTCCTAGCTCCTAAATCCATGCTGTTCCCTTTGTGTTTGGGGAGCTTCTCTCTCCCCCTTCTCCCTTTCTTAGATCCCTGCAGCTGTCCCTGGCATCTGTCTTCCTTCCTGAGCTCCACCTTGCCACTCTCTAGGGAAGGAAGTTCTGGGGCAGCCAAGTCTCCTCTTGCTGTCCTTCCCTGCTCCCCATGCCAGTCAAAGGGCAGAATCCAGGCGTCCTGGGTCTCCTGATCTCTCATTTTGCCTTCCAGACAGCAGAGTGCTGGGAGCATGAAGGAGGAAAGCAACGTCTTCTGTGCCCCTCCCTCTTAGAACAGCTGGAGGGGCACCCCGAGGGTGCTGGGCAGGGGAGGAGAGGTTGCTTGCTTGCCATGAGGGGAGCTGGGCTGGAACTGGGCTGGAACTGGGCTGACTTGGCCCCAAGATCTATCTCTTACCCCTGTGGTGATGGGTTGGGAGTGGAGCTCAGTGCAAAGGGCTGTGGAACCCCCCAGGGCAGGTGGTAGCAGTGTTGGCTGCAGCGTCCTGTCCTCTGGAGGACGCCCTCTTTCACTCTGCTCTGGAGTGTGGAAAGGAGGTCTTGCCACAGTCCCTGTCCTCAGATGCCTGAGTCTCTATCCCTCTGCCAACATCAGAGCAGTGGTGGAGCTTCCTGTCCTTTCTTCAGGCTAGGCTGGTCCTACCGGAGGCTGAGTTAAGGTGCACTCAGGAGAGCCAGCCTGCATGCAGTCTGGCAGTGGGGGCTAAGGACCAGGGACAGCCAGCTGCCTGTTGCTTTGCATTCCTCAGCAGGGGAGCGTCCCCAGGGCCCAGTCCCCACTGAACTGTCCCCTACCAGATGCAGATGCCGTCATAGCTCTGGGCTCTGGGCTAAGCCTGACTGCAACTCTCCTGTCTCCTGGGAGGTCATGGGAAACCCCTGCCAGATGCCCTGAGATGGGGGTGGGACAGCAAGAATGATGCTGGAGCACAGCTGAGTGGCCTTTCCCTGAGCTGGGCTTGCCCCTCTTCCCATGCCCCAGAGACAGGGGATTCAGACCCGGCTCAGGAACTCCTGGCTGACTGCTGCTCACAGCCAGGCCCATGTGGACCATGGTAGGCTGGGGGTGTGTCTGGCTCAGGACAGGGACTGGCCCCTCCTCTCAGCTCCTCCTCTGCATCCCCAGCCCCTCAGCTTCTGAAACCTCACCCCAGTCTGCTTCTTCAGTTTGTCTGGGGCACCCCTGGGCACTATGAGATCCCGATGCCCTGGAGGGCCATGGACAACAAGATTCTTCCAAGGTGCCTCATCCTAGGCATCCACTCCTGTTTGTATAACCAGAAGTCAGTGGCCAGGACTCTGGGATGAACTGAGACACAAGGACATCCCCAGAGGAGGGCTGGGGTCAGAGACCTGAACCCCATGCGTCCTGAGTTGACACCTCAAGTAGTCAGTGGCCAGGACTCTGGGATGAACTGAGACACAAGGACATCCCCAGAGGAGGGCTGGGCTCAGAGACCTGAACCCCATGCGTCCTGAGTTGACACCTCAAGTCCTCCTGTAGGTTTCCTTGGATCTCGCACCCCTCCCTGTGCTCTCAGAAACATGTTCTGGAGGAGAAGTCAGGCAGAGAGGGCTGACAGACCCTTCCACCAGGCCTGCCAGGGCCTTGTAAACCCATGCCCTTTGACCCCACAGTACAAAGCCTTCTTGTTTGGGGGTTCAAAGCTAGCCCAAGTTTTTTCCCTGAGGGCAGCCTCAGGAAGGCTGGGCTGGGGGAGGGCCTGAGAGACCAGGAGAAGGTCCAGTGGGAGGGCCACAAGACCCTCTGGCTGTCACAGGGCTTTGGTGGTTCTGCCGCCAATAGTACTGGGCTCTCCCTACAACTTAGCCCTGCAGCTAAAAGGGTCAGCACCCCAAATTGGGTCTTGCCACCCAGTTTTAGAGAAGACTGGTCTCTATGGGAACATGTCTTGTCTGGGCTGTCAGCTAAAAGCCCTCGGTGTCTGGGAGCCAGACTCCCCTGAGAGCAGGGATTTTGCTTCCAGCCGCCTTCCCCAGAGCTGGCAGGCTGCCATGGGGAGGAGGAGAGGATGCTCATTAATGTGGGGGTGTAGACATCCTCTTCTGCTGCAGAAGAGAGCCTCCTTCCTCTGGCAGGGGCGCAGCCTCCTGGGTTCCCAGCTCCATGCTTCTCCACGCTCCAGGCTTCAGCTTTCTTAACTAAGACGTGGGGAACTGCTTTCCCAGCAGCTCTTGGCCCTGCTAGCAGCTGTCAGTAGGATCAGTCCAGCAGACTCTCTGAAGGATCGTTTTTCTCCTCTTTCCTATCCTGGTGCAGAGTTGCTTGGTGGATGCAGCAGGACTGGGCACAGGCAGGTTTGGTTTGAAATTCTTCTCCACCATTACACATCGTGTGACTTTGAGCTTGTTAAAGTTTACCTTCTGAGCCGCAGTGAAATAAGGCACATACCCTCTGCTTCACAGAGTTGTCATAACACATCACATGTGTTCACATGCATCAATGAGCTTGGCACCTAGGTTATCTGAAAATATTAGGTATTGTCATCAGACGAGGCCTTGGTGGTGGAGAACGCACAGGAGGCAAGAGTGGTATCAGTGACAAATGATTTCTGAGGAAGAATATTCCAGAGTCTTCCAAGCTCCCCTTTGCAGGGTTTAACGATCCCGTAGGCAGAAAGTTCTTCTTGCTAGCTAATCTAAATTCCTGCTGCTGTAGCTGAGCTCTCCTTTGATCTTGCCCTGTCACTGATGAGGAAGAGCTGGTCCCTGGCAGATCACAGCATGGCTAAGTGACCCTGTGTTCTGGGCAGACTAGAGATCATGGGGCTCCTCTCTTTGTGCCCCCCCATTCCTCCCCCAACACATACACTTTGACCGTGGAGGATAGAGTTTGCTCCTGCTCTGCTGCTGCCCCATCTGCCCGTGGTTGGGGGCAGGCATACCGATGTCAGGCTAGGCATGAGAAGGGGAGGTGGTAGAATCTAGCAGACTTTGCTTTTCCTCTCAGTCTTGGGTGCAACACACCAAGAGACAGGGTGATGAGCTTCATGATTTTGCAGTCCCTCCCTGGGCTGTCCCATTAACCTCTGGTGGCTCCTTTTCAGGATTCCAGAAAGGAGGCATTAGGGATCTGATGGAGGAAAAGAGCAGATATGCTTTTAGCCCCCTGGGGCTTTTCTCAAAGAGACTAGCCATGTTGGTTATTTTGGCCAATCAAGGGGTGATTCTAGTCTGGTTCTACAGTTCTTCTCAAATTCTTTGGGGTAGGCCCCGGGGAGAGGGTGTCTCTCAGCCTGGAAGTCCCCGAAGTGCCAATCACACACAAGTGGCAGCTGCATGCATGCTAGTTCTCCCAGGCTCTCCTCTGGATTTAATCTTCAGGGTCAAGAACTAGTAAAGATGGTTTTCCTAAGTGCCCTGGGCTCTCCCCAGCCAGGGTGGTGGGGGGCCAAGGGCCTTGGCCACACACCCCCGACACATGCGACCAGCCCAGCAACGACCACCAAGCCGCAGCAAGAAGGGCCCCAGGTTTCCAAGCTGGGGTGGTGGGGAGCAAGGGCTTTTGCCACAGCCCCCTGACATCTGTACCCAACCCAGCAATGACCAAGCCACTGCTGGAAGCCCCCTGGTCTCCCCTGTGGGAATGAGGGGGGTGTCACAGGCCTCAATCCCGCCCCTCCTCCTCCCTCCTTCTTCCATCACATTTCCTTCCCTTTTCCCCTCTCCCCCTCCCTCCCAACTGCTCTGCAACAACATCCCAGAATGTAAAATAATAATATTAATTTTTTAAAAAAAGGTCTTCCTGTAAGACCTTGTTACTTATTAGCTATGTGACCTTGAGCCAAGGTATTTAATTTCTATCTGAGCCCTTATTTGTTAATCAGGGGCAAAAATACCTACCTTAGAACTAAATGATGTAATGTAATGACCTAACACGTGCAAAGCATCCTAGGTAGTGTCTAGCTAGAGGCAGTCTCGCCCCATAAGTGTGGTGGTTATTATTAAGTGAGGAAGTTGAATAAGCCAAAGGGTAATGAGGTTCCAGGTTCCAGCAAAGAAAGGGCATCAGGAATCCCATGTCCCATAGTTGCAATTTTCTAGGGTTCTGGAACGGTTCTTGGTTACTTATTTTAATATCACAGACTGTTACCTCTCATCAGTGACAAGTAAGACCCTTCAAGTGGAAAGAGCTTGGAGCTGCTCCCTTTGGGGCCTCAGAGTAAAGATGTGGGGGACAGGTCTGTTAGGAACCAAGGGAGCGGCCGTAGCCAGCTGACTGGGTGAGACTAATTTTACCTGAGACGCTGAGCCAACCCCTAGGAGCCCAAGGTCCCCCGCTGAGCCAACCCCTAGGAGCCCAAGGTCCCCGGGCGGAGTTCCTGGCAAGGGGGACTGGCCTGTGTTGTGTGATGTCACTAGGGACGCGGCTGGGGGTGAGGCCGGCTAGCCCGCTCCTACCCCTCCTAAGCCGCGGGCTGGGCCAAGGGCACGTGCCCGGATGCGCCCAGGCAGTGTCCTCTTCAGAGGGAGCTCTCTCTCCTTGGCAGTGTCTCGGCAAGTCTCTGGGCATGCCCCCAAGGCTGCCTCCTCCCCGTCTCCTCTGTCCTCCCGCGGAGCTCAGCCCTCCCCAGCCCTGCGCTGGGACTCTCCCGGCCTCTGTGCCGCCACCGCCGTGGCCACCTGCGCGCCCCTGCCCCCGGTGGCGTTCCTCCTCCGGGGGCGGGGCGGCGGCCGCGGGGCTTGTGCCAGATCCTGCGGTTGCCAAGTGGCAAGTAGGCCGGGCTCTGTCCTGGGAGATTCCGGGGCCTCTCAGAGCGGGGCTGTCCGGCCGGCCCTGCCACCCTGCAGGACCTTGGGGTGGGAGGCCCTTGGATGAGACTCAGGAGGGCCCTGGGCAGAAATGACGCTGGATGCCCATAAATCTTTATGGACAAAATCAGGCAGCTGGCCCGCGGGCCATGGTTTGCCAATTTGATTTTTTAAATATTTCATTAAGTTATCATTTATCTTGATTACTGAGTTTTTCTTGCCTTCCTAAATTTTGTGCTTAAGGTGAATGCCCCACTGGCCTCACCCTAGTCCCGGCTCTGCCCCACAGCCCCCAGGGCCCATAGTTTAACTGGAAGACCCCAGGGACTGACTCCTGGCGCCCTCCCCTGCCCCCACGGAGGAGGAGGGCTAGAGTGCCTCCCATGCTTGGCACCCTGCTGCAAGGGGAAGCTTCTTCCTTCCCTTCTCTGGGGCGGGGTGGGCCACTGCCACTTTGAGGGCAGCCCACAGAAGTGACCTCACCCGGGGCGGGGCAGGCAAAGAGGCTACAGGAGGGAAGGGTGATGGCGTTCTTAGAAAGCCAAAACTGGGAAGAGGTCATCCAGATGACACAGGAGGAAGCAGAGGCAGAGGCTTGACAAGGACCTTGGTCTCTCGTCTCCCAGCCCTCTTGTCTCCTACCTGTGGGTTGGAATTCCCCGAGGGCAGGGTGTGGTGAAGGAGCCCCAGGACCACTGAGACAGTATCTGCCTCCACTGGACTGTGAGCCCCTGAAAGCAGGGCAAGCCCAGTGCCCAGCCTTGCACGTGCGGGAAGTGACGTGCAGGCCTCCTTCCAGAGAGCCTCCGTGGCTCTGATGGTGCTACTGCAGGAGGAAGTTTATTTAGCGATTTGGGGACTGAGAGTTTTCCCAGTAAGAGGCAGCTGGAGGAATGGAGGAGCATTCATAGCCAGCCAGAGCAGGAATTGACACCCAGCTTCACTGTGTTTACTGTGTGTGTGACTTCAAGCCTCAACTCTTCTTTCTGGAAAATGGTGATTGAAACCCCAAGTTGTTAGCATCACTTGCATGAGGTAGTCTGGGGAGGGTGCCTGGCGCAGCGCTAGCACACAGAAAGCATCCGTGAAACCTTAGTTCTCCTTTGACCTCCAGTCACTCATTCAGCCCTATTCCTGGGACTAACACACTCCCTTTTCCAGGTCAGTTGCTTTGGGAATTAGTGACTCATCCAGGGTCCAAGTCCTCTGTCTCCCATCTGGCACCCATTTTTCTGGGTGACACTGCTCCCCCACCTGCACCCTGCAAAGCACTCTGTTGCTTAGAAGGGCCCAGCATGGGGTGGGATGGCTCTCTCTGAGGGGCCTCCACAGAGAACCCCACATCAGGATGTGCTGAGTCAATGCAGGGTCCCAGGGTGCGTGCCTGACTGACCCCAGGACTCCTGGACTCTAAAACCCTGGGGTGCCCCCCTCTATACCCACTCTCCCAGACTGCTCTGCCCACTCTCACATTCCTGGCGGTCGGGCTCCCTGGGTGGTCTGGGGGCTGCTTGCTGAAGGAGATGCCTCCCCTCTCATTGAAGGGCCCTGACAAGCAGGGCTGCTGCTCCCCCTCTCACATTCCTGGCGGTCGGGCTCCCTGGGTGGTCTGGGGGCTGCTTGCTGAAGGAGATGCTGCCCCTCTCATTGAAGGGCCCTGACAAGCAGGGCTGCTGCTCCCCTGCCCCTGCTCCCACTGTCTCCAGGGATTCTGATTCGATTTCCTCCAATCGCCAGCATTGCCATCTGCCTGCCGTAATTAAATGGTATTTGAATTGGATCCAGAAATCCCACTGCAGGCAGCCACGTGGTAGGGAGGGCGTCTTCAGGAGCTGGTGCTAGCCAACACAGCTGGAGGGTCCTCAAAGACTGCCCAGGCCAGAGCCTTGGTTCATCTGGGAGCATCTGGACGCCCTGGGAGGAAGTGTTTGGTCTTGGGTCCCGTAGGCCCAGGGGCAGAGCCAGTTCTGACAGGCAGAGCTTCAGATTCCTGTCCAGTACTCATGCAACACCTCACCCCTCCCTCTGAGGTTGCTGCCAGCTCTCTCTCCTGTGCGTTTGAGACGCTCTTTCCCCTTGACACTCTGAGCCTTCGTCCTTAGAGACAGTGTACTGCGGGACCATTGAAGAGGCAGCCCACACAGACTGCCTGAGCTCAAACACCGGTTCTGCTCCTTGCTCTCGGTGATCTGACTGAGCGCTGTCTCAGTTTCCTCTTCTATACATGGGGGAAATAGTGCTTACCTCGTGGTGTTGTCGTGAGGATCAAGAGTTAGCATGTGCCAGGTGTATTAGTTCATTTCTGTTGCTTATAAAAAATATACAGAACTGGGTAATTTGTAAGAAAATGAAATTTATTGTTTATAATTTTGGAAGCTGGGGAGTCCAAAGTCCAGGGAAGACATCTGCTGAGGGTCTTGGTGGTGGTGACAGTGACCAATGACAGCAAATGGCAGAGGAGAGAGAGAAACTTTCACGTGTTCTCCTTTTAAAGCTCTCAGAACCATGCCCTGACCACCATTTTTAATCCATTCACTAGGCGTGGTCCTCAGAATCCAATCCCCGCTTCAAGGCCCCCCCTTTCAGTCACCGTAATAGGATTTCCCACCCTCTCAACAGTCACAGTGGTGTCAAGCAACTAATACATAAACTTGAGGGACACAATCCGTATCACCAGGGCTCAGACGCTGCCTGGCATTCAGGGAGTGCTCAGTATGGGACTGCTGCCATTAGGAGTGGTAGTCGAGGCAGGAGCCTTACTAGGACTCAAGTTTCTGCAGGTCCAGAGAGGAAGAGCGAGAACGAGCTGTTCCCTTCCCAGTCGGAAACCAATGCAGATGGGAGGCTGAGAAGCTGGTTTCTCAGTTCCGCTTGGCCCATGACATCAGGATAAAGGTGG